CACGACGAGAAGTTCGGCGGGCGCGTACGCGCGCGCAGATGGATGCCGGCCGGTCCGTGCGCATCTATCTCCCAGTCAGAAAATCTTCCCGCGGCATGCCGGGGCAATGAGAAACAAGTTTGGACGGACACGTTTCTGGCCTAAGAGGGCACGTGATCGACCGCCACAATCATGGAGTGTGTTGTTCTTGAGCACACGACACCCAGCTAGTAGTCTTTCAAAGTCCTTGTACTCACGGCTGACCTTCCACAGACTTTCTCCCGAGGCGCAACATTTGATCGAGACAGGCTGCAAAAAAAGGTTGGAAACGCACAAGACGAGTTCAATGGACGTCCTTTACCACGGACGATCCTGATCTCAAGATTGTAAACCGTCACAGCATACCGTGCCGCAGGAAAGGAACTAATCTTGCCTCTATATCATCGAGGAGAATAAGCTTTGCCCATTCGTGTTGATGCTGGAAACCAGAAGCTCGCTGGGAATACAAGCAGGCAATTCCAGATCACGCCCGCACTTTCTTGGGCTCTCGTAGGTCGGGATGAGCAGGTACAGCAACACTTGCGCCGTCCTGCACGGACCTGGCGATTTGCGCATTGTGAGTACATGGGTGAGCTGCAGCTAGCTAGCTCTCTTTGGAATTTGTGGAGCAATCACCGCTCAATATCTCCCAGTCTCTGCGAACCGTCTGATGAGGTCAGGAATCGCACGACATCGCTCCTCCCCAAGCTGGCGAGGTACAGATCCGAATCGAACAGACCGGCCTGTGCGGTAAGTTGGACGGGCCCTTTTCATCTTGTTTCAATCTACACGTCCATAACAATTCTGAACGTGCCGTGCGCCGCGCACGTAAGCAGGCTCCGACCTGCACTACTATCTGCATGGGAGAAATGGAGATTTTGCACTTCAAGAGCCAATGTGTCTGGGTCACGAGTCTGCCGGAGAGGTGGTCGCCGTTGGTCCTGCCTCCTCCACTTCTTCCGAGCCGAGCGCGACAAGCACGCCAGCACCATTGGGCGTACTCAAAGTGGGCGACAAAGTAGCCGTAGAAGCGGGTGTTCCTTGTCGACTGATAGAGTGCGAAAGATGCTCTGAAGGCAGGTACAACCTCTGTCCCAGGTTACGATTCGCAAGCTCTGCAAAAACCTTTCCTCATCTACACGGAACTTTGCAAACGCTGATCAACTGGCCGGCTTGGCTGGTGCACAAGTAAGTGCAGCTTGAGGGTTACACGGTGCTTTGCGCCCCCCGAATTGAACACACCGCACACACACACACACACACA